AGGAATGAATTGTGTGTGGGAGGTGGGAGTCATCTAGGCCAACTATCCCATTGCACAGATGAGGAAGCTGAGGCCCTGACAGAGTCAAAACTGACACCCAGCTTGGTCTGCTTCCAGAGCCCACGTTTTCATTGCACTGTGGCCTCACGTGGAACGGGACCCTCTGGTCTCCAGGTCTGCATTAACCCACCCCTCCCACATGCTCCCGTGTCTGTCCCCTGGAAAGCCAAACCCCTCTGGAAGAGTTTCAAGGACAGAACCCCAGTCCTAGCTAGTATGATGGCTTATAGCTGAGCCATCTCCATCTTCATTCTGTCTCCGTGTATTTGCTGAAGGAGTTCAGCACTGAACAAAACCCAAACTTCCCTGCTCTCATGTTAACTGACATTCTCGTGGCAGAAGACAGACAGTAATCAAACACATGAAATAGATGGCTCATCCGGTGGTGAGAGGTGCTGTGGAAGAAAATAAGGCCAGGAAGGGAGGCAAGGAATGTTCCTGTGTTGACAGTATTTTTAAAAGGGTGCTCAGGGAAGGTCTCTTAAGGAGAGTAAATCATGTCCATATCTTGGAGGAGGATTCCAGGCAGCAGAATAGCACGTGCAAAGGCCCTGAGGCAGGTGTGCCTGATGTGTGTGAGGGACTGCATGGAGGTTAGTCCTCTTTTTCTATCTTCCCAGCTGCTCTTTGGGGCGACATGCCACTCCTGGCTTTGCGAAGGCTGATAATCTGAGCTAACCACCGTTGAGGCCTTGCTACCAGGGGCCGGGCGCTTTATCAAGTGTTTCCCCTTGAACTGTCTCATTTACACTTCCCCTCCGTCCTCAGCCAGCAGAAGAGGAACTGGACACGCAGAGCATTTTGGTGATTTGCCCAAGGTTGAAGTGAGTGAGATGGCTGGGACTCAACCCCAGGCTGGCCTGACGCCTCTGGCATCCGTGCCCTGAAGCCAGGCCTTCACAGCCCCAGCCTGCCAAACCACGTGGGTGCTGGCAGTAGAAGAAACCAGGGTCCCAGCAGAAAGCCTCCCTTGGGGCTGAGACAGCTGGGCTGAAACCCAAGCCAGACTGGCCTGGGTGCTGGGGGAGGAGCGCAGATGGGAGGATTTCGAAGAATGGGACCGGCTCCCTGTAACCGATGCAGTGACCTCGGCTTCTGGGTGTGGGTCTCCCTACACAGGAGCTGGGGGCCAGGCTCCTCCAGCAGCACAGCTGACTGAGCCCAGTGGGGGCTTCAGCACTGGCTGCTCCCCTCTGTCGGGACTTCACAGGAATCAGAGGAGGGGCCATCTTAGTTGGCACATTTAATCTTCACTCTAACCCGTAAGGGTGGTTAAGTCAGCTGCCGAGAGTGACAGAGCTAAGGAGGAAGGAGGCAGGATTCACACTCGGCACCTCATCCTCCAATCTCCACGGTCCCTAGCCCATCCTCCCCTTCACACTGCTGTCTGATGCCTCCTGTCAGCCCATCATCATTACTGAGCCTCCTTCTGCCTTCCCGTGGCTCTGCCTGACGTGGAATCAAAGCGAGGCAGCTGCCAGAGGAGGGCAATGCCTCATGCCCCACAGGCCCGGGATACCTGGCCAGGGCGGAGCTGCACTCCCTTCTGAGCTCACTTGGAGCCCTCAGTCCTAACTAGGAGTTCACTTTCCAATCCCAGTTCTGCCACAGCCCTCCTGTCCCACCCCGGGATGTCACGGAACATCTCTACTTGTATCCCCTCTGGGATGCTGTGAGGCTGGAACAGGATAAGCCAAGAAGAGCACTTAGCAGCACGCCTGGCAGACAGCCCTCTCCATCCATGTGTCTTGTCATCATCCTTAAAGGTGTTTCTGAGCCCTGAGCCCCCCTCTCCCCAGGCACGCATCCCTTCCTTTGGCGGGTTAATGTGGAACTGGAAGGAACCTTCCGGACCTCAAGTCGGTGGTTTCCAATGGCACTCTGGGTGCCCTAGGCCCTATGCTTCAGGGACCATCTTGGGAAGGGAGGTTGGGCATTAAGCTCCTGGAATCCCCCAACCGAAAAGGTTCCCCTTTAATTTGTTTTCTATGTCGGGCATTCACTTACTATTTTGAGAAATCTGCTGGGGGAAACACCCACCTGAAAGCACAGATTAATATCCAAAGCTCTCATTTCGCGGATGGGGACACGCAGGCCCGGAGAGGGGGAGGCTGCTGTCCCAGGCTTCCCTGCAGGCTGGTGGCCAGGCCCGCACACGACCGAGGGCTCAGCCTCCCAGACCCAGGTGCTGCTAACATCTGCAGACTTCTTCCCTGTCCTGGGCTATAGAAGTGCCCCCAGAGTTGCCCTCACTGGCCACGCCCTCTGCACAGTCCTGTCTCTGCCAGGTGGCTCAGAAGCCTCTCCCTGGGACAGGAGAAAGCAGGCGCTGCTGGCGTGAGCGCCTGGGAAGCGTCCAGACCTCGGTGGGCACAGATGTCTGGCTGTAGTGCTTTGCTGGTGGGAGTGCCTCCCTGTCCCCCACTCGGCAGTGGTATCTGGCTCTCAGGTTCTTCCTTGGGCCACTCAGTTCCTCACACCCTTCCTGCCTTTCTAGTACCACCCATGGCTCCATCCCACCACCACGCCTGGCACCCAGCTCTAGGAGTCTCAGGAATAAACCCGCCTCCCGGTTCCAAAGTGAAGCCTAACACAGCTGTGATCACTACAACACAGGAACGGCCGCTAAGGCTCTTGGACAGTGTCTTCTGTGGGTTAGGTACTGTTATAGGGACTTCACTCAATTATTTACTTGATTCTCACTATCGCCCTGGAGAAGAGGATACCTTGTGCCCATTTTAAAGATCGGAATATGAGGCTCGGAGAGGTAAAGGAGCCTGTCCAAGGTTACACA